CAATTTTTTACATGAATATGTGAATTGGTTGATAGTAAGTGTGGCATGTCTCCAACTTTCATTCATTTTATGTCATACCTATTACCTTCTTACAAAAACTTTACCAATCTAATAAACTTTTATATCACCCACATTGTAGTAACGTTAAAGTCACTGATTTTTAACATTAGACTTAGAAGTTGTTTTCCTTCATTTCTAAGCACTCACTGTGTTTTTCTTTTTTAATTTTTGGATTTGTAGCTGGAAGGTGAAATAACTTATGACAATCTCAACAACTGGATCAGCAAAGACTCAATGGCAGAAGATGATGTTGAGGCGTACATCCCTCAGTTCAAATTAGAAGAGCACTATGAACTTAAACCCATTCTGAGAAGCATGGGCATGAATGATGCCTTCGTCAAGGGCCAGGCCAATTTCTTAGGAATGTCAGAAGGAGATGAACTGTTTCTGTCTGAAGTATTTCATCAGGCCACTGTGGAAGTCAATGAGGAGGGCACGGAAGCAACTGCTGGAACTGGGGCTATCATGTCAGGGAGAACTGGCCATGGAGGCCCACAGTTTGTGGCCGATCATCCTTTCCTCTTCTTTATAATGCACAAAACAACTAAGACCATTCTCTTTTTTGGCAGATTCGTCTCACCCTAAAGTTGGAAGTTTCTGTTTCTGAACAGAATTTTGTAGCATGAGGTATAAGCCTCAGAACTGCTATAAGTACCAAAAATGGAGGGACTTTTTCTATGTATTTCTGTGTTTCTGAACAATTTTCTACTACCCACTAAATATAAATACAGAAATAACCAGACAACTGTCAAACATAACATTGCAACCTTATTAATTGGTTTCCTAAAATGGGATGATGTCGCATTTAGTTCTCCCTTATTCTTTGTTTATTTTATAGCATTAAGTTTTATTGTATTATTTATTATTTTATATAATTTTATTATTGTTAACTGTCTAATGTGGCTGATACAGTTACAGAAAACAGGTGATCGGTTATGTTTCTTTCCAAGGAAGTGCATTTTTTTGTTTTTATGAGGAAGGATGAGTAGGTATCTTTCCATCCCCTTCTATGTAAAAACCTAGAAGATAGCATTGAACAACAAGCAAGTATATATTATGTGCATTTGTAACATTATATATCACATAGATGTGACTGTAACTGATGTAAGATTACAAATATACAATAAATAAATATGTTTCCACACAATCATTTGTTTGTTGTCATTTTATTAGATCTTTGGATCATGAGACCTGATATAGCTTGATTCTCAGGACAGAATAAAGGAGCCAAAGAGATAACCACCCCTTTTACACAGAGCCCCACTCTTGGGATTGAATGGAGCTGTGTGAAAAAATGGTTTAGAGCTGCCTATTCAAGGCAGCAAAGGGTGTAGCAATTCAGAGGAATAGTTAGCATTCTTTGGACACTGGTGTTTAAACATCAAGAACATCAGGAATAAATGCCAAATCCAGTGGTTCATACATAGAATAAAGGTCACAGTCATTGATCTGAGAGTTCAAAGGAGTTAAGATGGGCTGGTGGCAGAGCAGAAGTGGAAAAACAAGAGACATTCTTTAAAAATATTTTTATTGATTTCAGAGAGGAAGGGAGAGGGCGGAAGAGATAGAAACATCAATGATGAGAGAGAAAATTTGATCAGCTGCCTCCTGCATGCCCCACACTGGGGATTGCCCCACATTGGGGATTGGACCTGCAACCTGGATTTATTCCCTGACTGAGAATCGGACTGTGACCTCCTGGTTCATAGGCTGATGCTCAACCACTGAGTCACACCCATCAGGAGAGCTTCTTTTAAGGATGTTTGTTCCAAATAGCACTCAATGCTTTTAAGTGGGTCAGAGGTAGAATTTAACATAGTTTAAGACCTAGGAACTAAGACACCTAAAGTTTGGAGGGTCTGAGCTGGCTTGAGAGTCTGGCTACAGAAGTGTGGCTGGATGTTGGAAATGTAACCCAGGTTCCACTCTCCCTATGATGGAAGGAAGGCAGGGGTGGATGACCCATGGAGCATGGTGGCTAAATAGGCGGCCTCAAGACTTTGACTATATGCATCTAAATCCCAGTTCTAACACTTTTGAGTTGTCTTACCATGGATGAAGAATGGTGCTTTGCTATGCTTCTTTTCTTTCAGTGTAAACTATAGAAAATAATGCTTTTCTTATAAGGTTGCTATGATGTTTAAATGAAATCATGCATAACAAGCAATTAAAATAAATTTTGGCAAGTATTTAAAAATACTAGTCATTATGATTATTATCTTTGAAAGTAAGAAACTATCTCTGGTTTTATTTACTTACTGTCAGGTGATCAAACAGAATTTCAGAAAATTATTCAGTCAAATAATTTTTAAGGCTTGAATTGTGTTTTACTTTCTCTAAGACATTCTTGAAAATTAGAGGTTCTTGCTTTGTGCATTCTCTTACTTTTAGATTCATTTGTCTATGTACTTCCATGATTCATTCAGCAAGGCAATAAGTATCAACCTTCTACACTGTTCTGAGTCCAAAGATATCTGTATTGCACTGTCATTATTGAGTTAGGGTATGAGTGTAGAATTCTAAGTTCAAAGCACTTTTCAGCACTTTAGGGTATAATTTTATTATCTTCTGGCACCAAAGCTGCTGATGGGAAAGTTGAGATCAAGATCATCCTTACTCCTTGTAGTTCTAGTAATTTTCTTTTTGTTTTTGGTAATGTTCTTGAAATTTTGTTGCATTGTGTACTTTTTAAAATGGGTTTTAAAAATTAATCTTGTTCATCAGCAGCTTTATTCCATCTGGAAACTTGTACCGTGCTTCAGTTCTGGGAACTCTCAGCCATTGCTATGAACTGAACATTTGTGTCCTCCCCACTCCCATACATATGTTGAAACTCTAATTCTCAATATAATGGTATTTAGAGGTAGGGCATTTGGGAGTTAGGATTAGGTTAGGTCGTGAGGGTGACGTCCTCATGATGTAATTAGTGCCCTTATAAGGAGATGAAGGGAACAGAGCTTCCTTTCTCCACCAGGTAAGGATACAGAGAGGAGACAACCATCTGTGAACCAAGAAGATAGCCCTAACCAAGAACTCACCCATGCCAGCATTCTGATCTCCAGGCTCCAGAACAGTCAGAAACACTCTTGTTTAAGCCTTCCAGTCAATATTATTCTGTTACAGCAACACAAACTGAATAAGTCCCTCAATTGTCTCTGCCTCACTCTACCTACTTTCTTTTTCTGGACTCCTATTAGAATAACATTGATTCACCTGGAGTTCTTCTACTTCTCTTCTCTTTCTTTCTTTCTTTCTTTCTTTCTTTCTTTCTTTCTTCCTTTTTTATACCAATGAATTTATGTTGTCTAAACATCCTATATAATAAAAGGCTAATATGCAAATTGCCCCCTTGGGAGTTTGATCGGGAGACCAGGTGTTTGACCACTCACTATGATGTGTGCTGACTACCAGGGGGAGGGCGGAACATGGCAGGCGACCAGCTGTGACGGGGCACTGAGGGAGCAAGGGAAGGAGGAGGCAGGGAGGCTGGGAACCTGATCATCCCTGATCCCTGGCCAGGCCTAGGGACCCTACCTCTGCACGAATTTTGTGCATCGGGCCTCTAGTCAAATATAAAAAGACTAGAACAAAAACTCTCCCTCCCACCCTCCTTCCCTATTCATTTAGTTCCTCTCCCTCAATCCCCCTAAAAACATCTGTACATATTGCTAAATATACATAGGAAAGGCCATAAATAGGAACAACAAACAAATAAAATCATGCTAATAATATTTTATTGTTAACTTAGGATACTAATACTTCTTTTCCCACCCCCTAAACAGGCATCAGAATAATGCACAGCCATGTTGTTGTTTTTTAATGTAGGTAATCTATTTGTAAGAATTTTAATCAAGAGGTAAGTGAGAAAGGAATCTGGTGAAGGTTTTGGGGGAAAATAAGTAAAACTTGGTCTGTGACTTTAAAGAGATGAAACAATTTCTTGGCTGTTTCAGCCACATCTACATTGTACATTTAATGGATGATAACTGGAGTGTCTTCATGCTGTGCTGAGAGACAGCGCAAGTCACTCACCGGTGGACTACTGTCTGTCATGATGGATAGTCCCTCTATCGAGAGCCTCCATACAATACTTGCAGCTGAGAATAGTCTGGAGGCATCATGGATAATAATATCTGCTCAGCACACGTCAGGCCGGCATCACAGAACTTCCTACCACAAGTCACACTCCCTAGTGAAATCCAGAGGAACATTCTGCTTTAGGTTCCACACCAACATTCAACTATCAAACTCTGAGCCAGTTTACCAGAGTATATGTGTGCCCCTAGGCAGAGAAAAATAAAAACCACATGCAGGAAAATGTGCCAAGTACATTATAAATAGGCTCCTCCTTTCCTTTCATCCTTTCTGGATTGTTCCTCCATTTCCACCGCTCCCTTCACTCTCTCCGGCATCCCCCCAAGCAATGCAGCTGTGATAGAAAATAAAACTATACCCTATTATCTTCCTTTCCAATAAATATGGTGAAGTGAGGGGAACATTTATAAGGAGAAACAAAAGAGAACTAGAAACTGATGAAGCAACATCAGACTCAGTAACTGATCCAGACCCCTTGTGCCTGGGGCAGGGAGATGGACATCCCACTCATCATAGTTATTCTCAGGTTTCTACACCAACATAAATGGGAAGAGGTGCTATAGCAGTAAATACTTCACCAGTAATATTTTAATTTTATTGTCCATTGTTATCCCACTAATTTGAGTCTTTCTTTCTTTCCTTTTTTTTTTTTTTTCTTAAGAAGCACTATAATTACTTCCATTTGGCAGATTAGAGGAGAGATTAAGTAAGGAAACTGTGAGTTACAATTTGTCATAATTCAGGTCTCCACATGTGGACAGACATGGAAAATATGAGTAATTAAAGAATGCAGGCAAAACCTTGCTCATCTGTTTCTCTGTCTTTTGATTTGAGCTTCTGGCCACGATGAACCTGAAAGGAAGAGTGTATGGGCTTGTGAAAGTGAATCAAAGGGGTGGGGCTAAGAAGAGGGAGGTGTTACTGCTTTTTTAAGTTCCTACAGTTAAAAGTTACTTAACTCAGCCACAATTTCTTACTTTAGAAACGAATTTCCACTTCTGCTCCAGGGGAAGAAAACAAGGTATTGTAAATACTTTTTGTTTAAAAATGTTTATTTATGTTTTTCTTCTTTGTTGAAGTGCCTAGCTCAATAACAAATGATCAAGAGCCCCAGAAACAGAAATAGTATATAGAGCTCCATTCCCCGGGAATTCTGTGCAAGAGAGAGAGATTTAACCCCGAGCTGGCTCAACGTTTCTACTGGAAAGAGGGCTAAGGGGGAAGAGAGCATTTATTTCCAAAGAAGCTAGAAAAATAGTTTTATTAGGATTGTGAAACTATGAATGAAGTTTTTTTTCAGTCACATTTCTGGATTTGCTACTTCTGTGTCTGTCACCCTAGGCAGAGAAATAGAATCTTCTCAGAATAATTGAGCCCAAATCCTTCACTTGGCAACATGAATTTGATCCTAGTCATTAATGTGTGGAACTAATGGCTTGACTCTCTACACTCCTGCCTTGGCCACCATTATCTTTCCTCTCTTTCATCGAATAATATAAATCCCTCCTCTCCTCCCAACCTTATGCTAGGTGCTCATCATAAAACACCCCAAGCTACTACTTCCTTTGGAAAACAACATTAGGTGAATATAGACATGCTGGGGGGTGGGGAGATGTCACCTTCTGATATGCTCAACTCCATGAAGTAGATGAAAACATCATCAGGATCATGAGGAAGTAAAGGGACTTTGGACCTCCTCTTGTGGAAAAGGGCACGGGACTCCTTCCCATGTCATCCTCCTCCTTATCATTCCTCTTTTCACCCTCATCTTGTCCATCATCTTTCATAACCCAATTCCTTGATTTACCATTAAAATCTTAGCGACAACGAAATACAATGACAAAACCAAGTATATTCAGAATCCAGAGAACGGGATTGTAGCGATAACTTTGCTATGGGATAGCTGTGCCTGCTGGTCGGCACATTTAACGTCTCTGGGCCTTAGTTTCCTAGCTGATAAAATGAGGCAATTGGATTAGAGGGACTCTGAAATTCTTTCCAATTCTGATATGCAAGAGTATGTGTATTTACAATGAGACATTCTGCTGAAAGACATAATCATTTTCCTATTTTTATAGTTCTCTCCTAAGCCCCTTTACAGATTGAGCAAAAGAGCATTTCATTCTAAAAAAGGCACAATAGGCTTCTGATTTAGAGATTTATAGTCTTCTCTGAAAAAAAAATGTACAACCTTTATATGGGCAAACTATTTCCTGTAAAATCGCATCCTGAAATTTCGCATCCTTCAGAAAACACATTCCACTGTTGAGTTAAACTTTACTAATGACTGGCTTAGCACTTCTGTAAATTTCTGTGAAAAAATTTTTTTCTGTTGTATATGAGCTAATATATATGGGCTACATATGATATATTAATAATGATATTAGTGAGAGAATTCATGATGTGGGAGATAACTGAATATTAGTTTTCCACAAGAAATTAGCTCTTTCATTGGAAAGAATTATTGTTTGTAGGAATTTGTTATAAGTAACTAAATTCTAGAATAACTAGTTAGAAAGATAAAAATCCCAGACCCTAAGATAGTATTTTCTCTTCTTCTCCCTTTACGTTGAGTATGGTTTGGCTAACCAGCCAAATATTTTCCATATGAATTTAATGCATGAGTTCTAAAAAGACAAAGTAATATATAGGCAGCAAAGAAAGCATTATCTGAATAAATATCACCCTAAAAGAAAGAGAGAGGTTATTTCCAAGTTGGCATTGAATCTGATAAGAAATAAAATACTCACAGGAAAGTTTCTAATATTTTATGAGGGTGTAGCATTACTATAAATCTCGACTTTTTTTTTCTTTTCCTTTAATCAACAATGTCAGCCTAGGATTAGCATCAGCCTCTGGAATATGCAGGAGCTGGAACTAGGACATGATTTAGAGGCTTGGAAGCTGTTTTGTTAAGTACAAGACTGTGGCTAAGAGTAATTTCAATGGTATCATTTAATCCCAGTCATGATGAAACCAAGACTTTGCCTACACACGCCTCTCCCTTGATTCAACTATTTGACTAGGGAGAACTGGCTTTTCTCAAGTTCTCATTCTAGTTTCCTCAGAGGGTCAGGTGGTGTCAGTGGAGGACTAAGTTCTAGACAATATTTTAGGAGGTTCAAGGCCCAGGAATTTGATTTATTTTTAATCATTTAACAAGGTTGAGACATTATCCTATCTAATAATAGACAAACATGGTAATTAACCATACCTCTGACACACTTCCCATTGGCTAATCAGGGAAATATGCAAATTAACTGCCAACCAAGATGGTGGCCGGCAGCCAGGCAGCTGAAGCGAACTGGAGGCTTGCTTGCTCCAGTGATGGAGGGAGCCAAGGTTCCCCACCTGCCGCTGCCGGCCTCTGAGTTGCACTCTAAGAAACAATGTTGCAATTATAGAAGCTAAACAAATCCCAGAAACCTGCTTTCAGCCAGCTGGGCCTCAGAGCTGGAGCAGCAACAGTGTTTCAATTACAGAAGCCAAACAAACCAGATACCTGCTTTCAGCAGCCGAAGTCTCAGAGCTGGAGCCGAGCCTCAGAGCTAAAGCTGGCTCTCAGTTCCAGTGACAGCCATAGAAGGTAAATAAATCCCAGAATAAAAAAAAAGAAAAAGAAAAAAAGGAGAGGTTGGGAGCTTCAGTCACCTGCCAGCCTGAAAACAGCCCTCAGCCCTTCACCCAGGCAGGCCAGGCACCCCAGTGGGGACCCCAAACCTGAAGGGGGTGTGACCAGCTGAAAACAGCCATCAGCCCCTCATCCAAGCTGGCCAGGCACCCAAGCGGGACCCCCACCCTGATCCGGGACACCCTTCAGGGCAAACCAGCTGGCCCCCACCCGTGCACCAGGCCTCTATCCTATATAGTAAAAGGGTAATATGCAAACTGACCCTAACAGCAGAAGGACTGGGAATGACTGTTCACTATGACACACACTGACCACCAGGGGGCAGATGCTCAATGCAGGAGCTTCCCCCTGGTGGTCAGGGCACTCTCACATGGGAGGAGCTCTGCTCAGCCACAAGCCAGGCTGATGGCTGCCAGTACAGTGGTGGTGGTGGGAGCCTCTCCTGCCTCCTCAGCAGCACTAAGGATGTCCGACTGCAGTTTAGGCCTGCTCCCTGCTGGCAAGTGGACATCCCCCCAGGGCTGCCAGGCTGCCAGAGGGATGTCTGATTGCCAGCTTAGGCTCAATCCCCTGGGGAGCGGGCCTAAGCCAGTAGGTGGTCATCCCCTGAGGGGTCCCAGACTGCGAGAGGGCACAGGCCGGGCTGAGGGACCCCCCTCCCCGAGTGCACAAATTTTTGTGCACCAGGCCTCTAGTATGATTATAAAATGACAGTAAATTTAACTGGTATTTTTAAAAATAGAGACCCAGCTCAAAAAGACTTAAATTAAAATGTTAGGGTAACTAAAGGTGATATTTAAAAGTTGAATATAATATCAAAAGTGACAGAGAGAGAGAAATCCTGAGTTCCTTTGTTCAAGAAGACCAGTTTCAGAGGGTCAAAAGTGAATGAAAATAATGGCAAAAAAATCTTGGTTTCTCTATTTCTCTACAAGCATTTTCCATTAAATTGTGCATGATTTCAAGTTTAAGGAGCTAAAAACAAAACAAAACAAAACAAAAAAGTGTAGCTAGAGCCCAACAATGAATATGATGCACAAAAGTATTCCTATGAATCCATTTTGTGCAAAGTGCGATTAATAGATGTGGGATGTATGAAGTAGCATAAGAAAATTTCGCTCTGGAGAAACTTACCCTGGAGTTGGAAAGATAGAAATAGAACTAGCAGTGTGACCAATGTCAAGTACGTGGCCAGAGCTATATTATGGGACCTGGTGGCAGACATGCTCCTGTTTACCCCAAAGGTCAGGAAAAGCTTTCAGGGGAAAAGAAGGTCCTTGGACAGAGTTGGTTTTCAATAAAGGAGGAGAAAAGGCATTCTAGGAAACAAGAATGTCATATATAAAGTGGTAAATAAGGTTAAAAAATAAAAATATGGATGAAAGTGGGTGAGAAAAAGTACAAAGTTGAAGAGAGGCATCCTTATTTCTCATTTTCTGTGCAAAGTCAACACTAGTGCAATGTATTGAAAAGAGGCACTGGCTGAGAGGGGGGGCCTGGTTCCACTGCCACTTTCATCGTGACAGTCTCAACAAGGAGCTGCTGACACACCAGAACCCAGCTGTTCTCTGATGTACATCAACACTAAAATTTGAAACAATTTTCTTAAACACCCTGGACTTCAGTTTTCCAATATGTAAACTAATACTGTTGGACTAATATGCTTTTAAAGCCCATAAGTCCATTTAGGTCTTATGAATACAAATTGGATAATATATATTTGTGTCATTTCACTGAAGTATAGTTAAAAAGTAATATATAAGCTAACAAATTGTTTTACAAAAGTAAAATCAATGGAAAGGATTATTAAAATTATTAACATGGTCTCTCTTTCTCTCCTTTTTTTTTTTTTTTTTTTTAGATTTTCCCAATGGATTCTCTAACACAATCAATCAACCAATTTGCCCTGGAATTTAGCAAAAAGCTAGCTGAGTCTGCTGAGGGTAAAAATATTTTCTTTTCTCCTTGGGGCATCTCAACCTCGTTAGCCATGGTGTATTTGGGCACCAGATGTACCACTGCATCCCAAATAGCCCAGGTGAGTGGCAAAGCTCAGCCTTGCCTTAAAACAAAATGTTTTCTTTACCTTTTATCTTCATTTTTCTTCCAAATTCCAGATAGCTCACATTTTATAGCCATATTTTCCAAAACAAAAGATGCACTTTAAAAAGTTTTCTAGCCTGGCCGGCGTGGCTCAGTGGTTGAGCATTGACCTATGAACTGGGAGGTCAAAGTTCAATTTTTGGTCAGGGCATATGCCCCGGTTGTAGGCTTGATTCCCAGTGTGGGGCATGCAGGAGGCAGCTGATCAATGATTCTCTTTCCTCATTAATGTTTCTATATCTCTCTCCCTCTCTCTTCCTCTCTGAAATAAATAAAAAAATATAGTTTAAAAAGTTTTATAGACCATAAAAGGAAGTCTGGGAAAAGAAGTTGATTTGCTAGGAAAACCATTTAAGAACCTGTATTCTCTAGCAAAATCATACAGAGATGATGAGTTTATTAAGTTTGGTTCAACACCAAAAATTATTTTATTTGGACTATCAAGACATTTCAAGAAGTAATGCCTCAAACATTAAATAGTAGAATTAGTATGTTTTGAATTTCAGAAGGATTTTCTTGAAAACACAAATAGAAAAGTCAAGTGAATTCTGTTCTTTGTACCTTGGTTGTTTCCTTTTTCAATCCTTATTTGTTTTGATGAATTTAAAAAGCCTATTTGGAGCATGAAAATGCAAAAATATTATTGTATAAGCAATTACTGATTTGGAATAAGCATCCTCAAAACAGTGTATGTATGTGTGTATGTGTAAGCATAGATAAACAACATAATAAAATAGCCACATATATATGTGTATGCATGCATGTGTAAACTTATACATATATGTGTGTGTATTTTAAATAAAAATAAACCAAAAAAGAATAAATCCATCCCTAAATCATATAACAATGGAAAGACCAAATGACAGAATTTCCACAAAAGGTGTCTTCTGTGCCAAGTATGGACATGGGTACAGCCAGTAATTCTGGGTAAGACAGGCAGAATATATATACTGTGAATTTAGGCTTAGGCTATCAACTTTATTCTTGTAGTTCACAAGATACTATGGGGTTTAAAACAACAACAATAGAATCCTGGTTAATAATTAATTATCAGAGGTTTAACCATTCAGCGATAGACTTAATCTTAGGTGAATTTCATTTTGGGTCTGTTTCATATAAATATATTGCTGGGTGTCTCTTGCCCTTGTTTTATTTCATATATATTTAAACATTAACAGCTTCAGTTTGCACCCCTTTTCCCTGTGGCAAATGGTCCCTGTGCTGTCACTGTGTGTCAGCAGGAGCTTTGGTCAGACTTTGTTCCTCACTGTGAGCTGGGTCAGGATGTGGGAGACGGAATTATCGCTTTGTTTTTTTACTGTTGTACAATTCGGGGGAAACAAGGGTGCCCACATCCTTCCTGTTAACCTGCAAATAAAACTCTGGGGTGTAAATAAAGAATTCATCCATATGTCAAGTGGTGATAGATAATGGGAACAAAAGCACTAACCTAGGAAAAACAATTAAAACCCTTGCATTTTCCAGATAATTGGGTGGTGACTTTTGCTTAAATTGCTAATTGGACTCAGTTGAACACCTAGCCTTCTTTTCAAAGCAACCATAGACAAAAATGAAACTTGGGAAACAAGAGAATTTTACCTCTAAGGGCATTTCCAACATCATCCTAAACGTCCTATATAAAATATTAAAATAAAGAGCAACTTAAATCAGACTTTTAAAAATTTTATTTAAAAGCAACTCTTTTTTAAAAAAAGAAATGATTTCAGAGAGGAAGGGAGAGGGAAAGAGAGATAGAAACATCAATGATGAGAAAGAATCATTGATTGGCTGCCTCTGAACGCTCCATGCTGGGGATGGAGCTCACAACCCGGGCATGTGCCCTGACCAGGAATTGAACTGTGACCTCCTGGTTCATAGGTCCATGCTCAACCACTGAGCCATGCTGGCTGGGCTAAAAGCAACTCTTGACCTAGTGTACTAGTTCAGCTAACATACTGTTAAATCAAATCAGAACCCCCTATGTTCATTAATTATATGTTCTGTAGCAATGTATTTATCAAGGTGTGTTTGATATGATTATTTCTCTGCAAAGTGCACTCAAACATTGTCTTTTTATTGAAATTACAGGTGCTTCAATTTAACAGAGATCAGGACATCAAATCTTATCCTGAAAGTGAAAAGAAAAGGAAAACGGTATATTTTATATTTTAATATCCATTTGCTGATAAGGGGGAAACCACTTTTAGCATTCGCATGTTAATGGCTAATTTAAGCAAACTTTACTGGGTAAATATTCTTAGAAACATATGTTAAAAATTTTTTGTAATACTGAATGTCTACACTTTTTGGAAGGGTTATCTTTTTTAACCTTATCTCTTCTCCTCTTTTGCTTCTCTTTCAAAACTGCTCTACTTTCAAAATTATTCCTGCTTTTGCAAAGTAACTGTGAAGGAAATGATGCCCTCAATTATTTTTATGTTTTTGCCCTGGTAACATTAGAGAAAACATTTATCTATTTTATAATTAATTTCATCTTTTTGTTCACAATACACCAAATTATTTCATTTAGTTGTAGGATGTTCCTGTATATACGATTCTTGTTCAATGTTTTTATTAGACTAATCCCTTTTCTTTTAAAGGATTTCAACTTGGGGAAGGTTGAAGAAATACACTCCAATTTCCAAACACTCATCTCCGAAATCAACAGTCCCAGTAATGCCTATGTACTTAAAACAGCCAATGGGATATATGCAGAAAAAACTTACCCATTTCTCAAAGTAAGTGCAAATATGTTATTTAAAGCTGATGGGAAACAAAGAGCCATGTGAAATCAATCAATGAACTCTTTGTACATTTCTTTAGGGATCCCAGGGACAACCTTAATGTGGTCAACATTTCTGGTAAACAATCATTTAGACCAACCAATAAGTGTCTAGTTGTAAAGAAAACCAGTAATAGGTCTCAAACCAGGTCTAGTGAGCAGATCTTTATCCAAAGTAGTAATATATAAATGTGGTTTATATAATCTGTGTGCCAACATTTGCTTCATGGGAAATGGAATAAAATATGTGGAGTATGGATGTAGGGTAAATCTGAAAGAGCAGAGGGTGATGTTGGACAGAGGAATATGCCTGGAAACTGTTTAATGGAGAGCAAAGCTGATATTGGAATCAGACAAGTCTTTTTCCATCATGACTTTAGAGATTATGGAAGATTCTTAACATGGAATAATATCAACTTTGTCCCTTCTTGGGTGGTTGGAATTCCATGGAGCAGTCCATGACTTCATCCTTAGTTCAGACTCAAAGGCTTCTCAGAGGGGTCTACCCAGGAGCCAGGACAAGCATTTACTTGTCTCATATTTGTCCATTACATCTTTGGCACATCTTAGAAAGGAGCAGGAGGACAGAGGGGTCCAGTGGACAAAAAGCAAGGACATTGCGTAGGGTGGAGGGATAGCAGTAGAATCAATAAACCTATCTTGAGATTTCAAGCAGTAATGTCAGAGCTGTGGGTGGCAGACCTTCCTTCTATACCTGGAGTTTTTCATGGCTAGTCAGAGCCTAGAAAAATTTAAAGAGGAGGAGTATAGTCTTTGACCAAAACAGGAGTGGGAAAGAGAGAATGGAGCAGTGTGTGTGTGTGTGTGTGTGTGTGTGTGTGTGTGTGTGTGTGTGTACAATTGTTCTTCTATCTAGCTTTTTGATAACCTAAATAGACTTGATTTCTCAGTTTTGGAAAAACTCTACAAAAGGAAATTTTACCGGTATCTTTCAGAAATATTTAGAAGACATGAAAGCATACTTTGGTGCAGAGCCACAGCCTGTGAACTTTTTGGGAGCTTCTGACCAAATCAGAAAGGAGATCAACTCTTGGGTTGAAAGCCAGACTGAGGGTAAGCTGTCACCAAGGTGCCCATCCGCATGATCTCTCCAAGCATTGGTTTTAAAAAAATATTTTTTATTGATTTCAGAGAGGAAGTAAGAGAGAGAGAAAGAGGGAGAGAGAGAGAGAGAGAGAGAGAGAGAGAGAGAGAGAGAGAGAGAGAGAAACATCCCACACTAGGGATGGAGCCCACAACCTAGGCATGTGCCCTTGATTGGAATCAAAACGGGGACCCTTCAGTCCGCGGGCTGACACTCTATCCACTGAGCCAAACAGGCTAGGGACAAGCATTGTTTATTGTTACACTATCCACAGTGTTATTGAAATTAACTCTGATGCTTCATTTCATCTGCCTCCCCTGAAGGATCCCATGCATAATAGCTCTGGTTTCAGCTTTGAATAAATAACATATAAAAAGCCCACTCATAGTTGTTATTCAGAAAATTAATGTTCATTGGAGTGAATTGAGGAAATTGGCAGCCCTAAATTCCCAGTTCCTTTCTCATGTAACTTTCAAAAGCCATGGTGAGGCAAAAATGACCATTATATTGAACTCATTCCTGATTTTGAGTCATCCAAAAGTTGACGCTTTTAGAATTAGAATTAGCTAGCATTTACTGGGTACTTGCACTGTTCCAGTTTACAAGAGGACCAAATAGGACTGTAGAAGGAACAGCCCATAGTAATATGCAACTCAAATTCAACATGGCAGAGGTAGGAGAATAGTAAGGGGTAGAAGAATAGTAAGGGACTAAACTAGAGCTCTGGCCTTAAATTTTTAGCCCAGTGTCAAGTATGTTGTCTGGAAGACAGTTGGGAACCCTACACATAGGGAAGCTACGAGCAAATAAGTAATCTGCTACCTTTTCACCCAGCAAAGCCTTTTAGACCTGAGAGGAGACCTGTCCTCAGATGCTGCATAGCTTGGTCCTTGTCATGCTTCCCCAGTGGGGTTGGCACACTCCAAGGGAATGATAACTGTTTAGATGACAGAGCTGTCCTGGAAATCTTCCTGTGATGACAAATGTGCCATACATCTGCATTGCCCAATTTGATACGGTCACATGTTCTATCCACATGTGACCAGAGATGATTTGAAATGTGACTAACTCAACAGAGGAACTGAATTTTTAAATTTTAGTTCATTTTTTTCTTTTTTAAAAATATATTTTATTGATTTTTCACAGAGAGGAAGGGAGAGGAATAGAGAGTTAGAAACATCGATGAGAGAGACATATCGATCAGCTGCCTCCTGCACACCTCCCACTGGGGATGTGCCCTCAACCAGGTACATGACCTTGACTGGAATTGAACCTGGGACCTTTCAGTCTGCAGGCCGACACTCTATCCACTGGGCCAAACCGGTGACGGCAATTTTAGTTCATTTTAATTAATTTAATTTAAATTTAAGTAGACTTGTGTGTCTGGTGGCTACCATATTCACAACACAGATGTTTTAGAAGAACTGAACAAATACTTTACATTATGGAGGAAAGAGTAAACTTCAGATTATGATCGCTATATGGTCAAAATACACAATGGGCACACTTTGAAAAATCCTCTGTTGTCATAGCACTCATCCAGTAAGAGATCCCTCAAATTATGCCCACCCTGGATGTGGTCAGAGTCTTTTAAGTCCCTGTTTCCCTAATTTCATGTCTACATTCCCCCCGCTGGCCCTGTGGACTCTATTTCTTAGAAGTTGAACCTTCCAATGAGGGAGAAAGCTGAAATTTTTCTGTATGTTATTTTAAACATTGGAAGCAAATATCTGCTATTTGGCAGCTACTCAACATCAGTTTAAGTAAAAAATTGATCAGCTATTAAGGAACTTTGACTTTGTTGCATCCTTATGGAGACATTGCTAGAAACTCTTCAGCATGCCTAAGTTCTATCTGAACCACTTGAAAGAAGCTTCTTTCCTTGGCCCTTCTAATAGGTCTTTTTCCAAATAGCCGCATGAACTACCAGAACACAAGGCATTCAGAGTCAAATTTTCCAAGATAATACCAGTCATGTGTTGCTACAATTTTTTTCCTATTTTTTTTCCCTTATAATCTATAAGCTCCTAAAATGTGAGGAATTGGGGAAGGTTATTGTGTGCATATTTGTAATCTCAAAATCTATCATGCGCTTGGCAAATAGGAACCTCTAGTGTCACATTAATATGTGCCCAGCAGGACTTACCAGTAACCTGAATATCTGTGAAGCCAATGCCCTTCCCATTACCTAGAGCTACCAAGGATGCGTGCAATGTGCAAGCCAGTAGGTGGCACTTTAACTCTGAAGAGGATAGTAGAACATTTCTTAGAAGAGTCCATTTGCTCTGCATTACTTTGAAGTTGTCTGTAAATACATTTTGTACCTCCTTTGTCAAATAAACTAACAACACGGATGTGGATTCAAGAGGCTATGCTCCTTGAAAACGTATGAACCCAGAGAACAAGGCAATGAAACTTAAATCATCTGGATGCCAACTAACTTGAGATCAACCTGTGTAAACCTCAGTCCTCTATATGCTCTCTATTTGCATCTACAACTCTATCAAATGATAGAATAATTCACTTAGTATGACACAGAGCTTAAAAAAAACAACTTCTGTGCAAAAACCATATTTAAAAAATGACACATGACTCCCCAGGTTAAATCACCAAAAAATTTTCAAATTAAGTTTAATATACTGTCTTTAATCAGATAGAAAAACAAATATGAAAGTTTCAGGAAATTTTCACATCAGCATTGAAAACCAAATTTATATTTAATTTCTAAAACCTAAAGGTCTGTTTCATAGGGGGGATGTTTGTTTTGTTTTGTTTTGAGTAGACATGTTCAAACCACACCTCAGAGCTAGTGGAATCTCTAGAAGTGCTGCCCTTAGAACTTTTAAATAAAGCTGCAGTGTTTGGGAGATGCCCCTGTGAAGACTAGCGGTTGAGGGGTATGTTGGAGTCCATAGCAAAGGCTCACAAGAGCCAGTTCACATCTCTTCAGGGGTTGGAGGATACAAACCCACAATGGTAGCATTCTAAAAAAAAATCTGTAACCTAAATATTATCTGTGAGGAAACATCAGACAAATTTGAACTAAGAATTGATGGACATTCATTTTTTAAAATATATTTTTATTGATTTTAGAGAGGAAGAGAGAGATAGAAACATCAATGATGAGAGGGAATCATTGATTGGCTGCCTCCTGCATGCCCCCTACTGGGGACCGAGCTTGCAATCCGGGCATGTGCCCTTGACTGGAATCGAACCCAGTACCCTTGAGTCTGCAGATGGAGGCTCTATACACTGAGCCAAACCAGCTAGGGCTGATGGACATTCTTATAAAACTTTTTCAAAAGTATCAAGGTCATGGGAGACAAGCATTGACTGAGACACTCTCCCAGGTTAAAGAGGACTAACAACTAAGGGGAAATGACAACTAAGCACAGCTTGAGATCTTGGATCATTTTCTAGTCCAGAAAAATAAGTTATTGGAACAACTGATAAAATTTGAATAAGATCTGTTCATAGTATTCTACCAAAGCTAACTTCCTGTCCTGGCTAGTGTTGCTTAGTGGTTGAGCATCAACCTATGAACCAGGAGGTCTCAGTTCAATTCCCGGTCAGGGCACATGCATGGGTTAAGGGCTCAGTTCCTTGGAGGGGGCATGCAGGAGGCAGCTGATCTATGATTCTCTCTCATCATTGATGTTTCTATCTCTCTCTCCCTCTCTCTCTCCCTTCCTCTCTGAAATCAATAAAATATTTTTTTAAAAAGGTGGCTTCCTGGTTTGGATTATAATATTTCATGATCATCATTTTTATAAGTGTGGTATGTCATCGAGATTTAACTAAACCATTTGAAATCTGTCCTTTTGCTCTTGTAGGAAAAATTCTGAATCTCCTACCTGATGATGCTGTAGATTCTGCAACCAAAATGGTCCTGGTGAATGCCCTTTACTTTAAAGGAACCTGGGAACATCAATTCTTAGTCCAAGACACCACAGAAAAGCCTTTCAGAATAAACAAGGTAGGAATCATTTAATAATCAGCATGGATTTTCATGTGGCATTGTAAAGGGGATCCTATTTTAAATTCAATCCTCTTTTTAAATATATGTTCTTATAAAGTATGGCTCTTACTAGGGCACAGATGGCTAAAGTGAGCATTCCCAATTTCATCCCACCTTGAAATGTCCTTTTCTCTAAAAAATAGACTATTCACATATGTTATAACTCAGTCCTTGCTACAAGTAAGCTAGAGAAATAAGTTATATTTGTTTCCCAGGTGAGCAATACAGTGTGGTTAAGTGATTAAGTTAGAAGTCTACTAGAACCGAAAGTCTTCACTATTACTTCTGTTTTTGTTCTACTAAACCTATACTATCTTCTACCAAAAAAAGAAACAAAAACTTAAAAAATCACCTCTCTCAGTAAGGTTTCTATTCATGCTAGGACATAACACACTTATTTTTGTACTAGGAACCCACTACAGCAAAAACAGAAACAAACATAAGATGGCAGATATATCTCATAGAATCCAAGGGCCAGTAGGTGGCTGAAACTTGGGACTTGCATGGAAACAAGGATCCAAATGTTGTCAGGATTCATTCTCTACCTTTTCAACTGTTTCTCTCATCATTCTTCTCTCAAGCTGAGGTCTAACTTCCTCTTCTTCCCAGTTGGCAATGGCAGAACCTGGCTACCCACGCACTTCTTCCATTCGCAAGACATTCTAATAGATCTCATTCCAAAATTCCTGGGAAAGGAACTGATTGGACAAAGTTTGCACAAGTTGTTTAGTCTGGGGTGGGACATCTCATACAAACAGTGCTGCTGAGGACCTATTGCTGAAATCCTGTGGATGTATGCAATAAGCAGTTCCCAATCAGTGGGATAATAATGGGGAAGGCTAACCAGAATTGAGCTAGATAGTCACCTTGGTATATTCAGCAGGAGTTTTCAGTTGCAAGCGAGAGGAAAGCATTCCAAACTAGCTCCAGTAAAATGTGAATTGTGTTAGCATTGACTCATGTAAATAAGAGAAACTGACATGTCCTAGAGTGGCAACCCGAGAGTCTCAAAAACATAATCTCACTTCTCTCTCTCTCTCTCTCTCTCTCTCTCTCTCTCTCTCTCTTTGAGGAGATGTCTGTTCAGATCTTTTGCCTATTTTTAAAATTGGGTTGTCTGCTTTATTACCACTGAGTTTTTAAGAGTTCTTTGTAAATTTTGCATACCAGTCCTTTATTGGGTGTGTTTTGTAAATATTTTCTCCTAGTGTATTGCTTATCTCTTCATTCTCTTAGTGAATTTCCATTTTTTATGAAACTGAAATACTTTCTCAAAATGTTTGCCTTTGAGACACACCTTATTGAGTATCTGAATCATTGGCACTTACATAGTTTGCATAAGATTATATAATCTTTTAAGTGTTTGATAGAATCAGCAACTATGATATATACATGTTGCCACAATAATGTTAAAGAATGAAACTCCATATCACCTGCTCATGATGCTATCCAGTAGAAGACATATTTTCAGAGAGCAAAGTCTGAATAACTTTACTCAGTATTTAGCAGAGGATCACCAAATTAGCCCTTGCCCAAGACTCCTGGGGACCAATGAGGATAAAGAATGAAGGATTTGGTGGAACACCTCCTCAGTGACTTTGCTACTTATTTTCTATAGACTACAAGCAAACCAGTGCAAATGATGTGGATGAAAAAAAAGCTTCCCATTTTTCACATAGAAAATCCACAAGCAATCGGCCTTCAACTCTACTATGAGAGCCGTGCCCTCAGCCTGTTCATACTGCTGCCAGAAGACATCGGTGGGCTGGATCAGGTAAGACATCATCTGTCTGACATGAGGATGATTCTGGTGTTTACCCCCATGTAATATGGCTTCCCTGTCTCCTAACTTGTAGAGGAAGGCAACCAATACCATTTCAGCTTCACAAAACTCTGTAAGGATGATATGGCTATTCCTTAGAAAGTGTCAGTAATTGATAGACACCTGTAATCTGGGGTAGTCCCACAAACAGCAACATGAACAACAGATACAGATTTGGTCAGTCACAAAGTTATGTGGATTGATCGTTCAGGTCTTTCTTCTCCCTCTGGCAGGACCTACCTAATGGGAAATTATTATTTTTTTGTTAATCCTCACCCGAGGGTATTTTTCCATTGATTTTTTTTTAGAGAGAGTGGAAGCCTATCTCTCTTACCTTGTAAGAAGAGTCACATTCTTATGAGATAAGCCTTTATTTCTAAGAGTGCAGGTTCCTAAGGGAGAGACTGAGAGAGAGAAACATTGATGTAAGAGAGACACATCCATTGGTTGCCTCCTGCACATTCTCTGACCAGGCCTGGGGATTGAGCCTACAACTGAGGTTACTAGCCCTTGATCAGAATCTTATCTGAGACCCTTCAGTCCATGGACTGAGGTTCTATCCACTGAGCAAAACTGGCTAGTATGGGAGATTAATTTTTAATCACCTGCATTAAAGTAGCATTAGATGTACGTTTTAAAACATTAAATTTACTTCCAAAAATTGTAAACACAGTTTTATCATGTAAACAGTCTTTCGAAGAAATAGTCTATATAAGTATCATCTTCAAGTATTATTTAAGTTGTTTGTCAGCCACATTTCTATTAAGCCTGATATAATTTTGGCCAGATGACATTTCTGAGTAGTTTGCATGTCTAAATTGAACATTGATTTCTCTGCAGATGGCCTGTCTTTCTTTGCACAATGCCTAATTTTTTATGTGTGCTAGACTTTTTATACTTAGAAGTTTCCATGGTCCTACTAGTATGTAGAAAAGATTTCCCACTGTATCATAAAATTTTTGAAACTGGAGACGATGGTAAAAATAAGACCATGTGTGGACACTAAACCATGAGAGTCACATTCTTACAAGATAAGCCTTTCTTCCTAAGAGTGCAAGTTCCTGAACTTAAGATATTGTCACATTATTAATGTATGCCATTTATAAGTATGTCATTGACAGCAAAACTTGGGTCTAGAAAACTAAACTCACAAAGTAGCAAAAGCACATACTTTGAAACAAACAGGTTATTAAAAAAACTCAAAAACTTTTTCTCCACATACACATATGTATATATACATACATATATATTTATTATTTTAAAATTTATAGCATAAAGAGGAGAAAAAGCACCCTCAAAATCACTATAAAAATAGTCATTACTCAGGGATAGATGGTGATGGAAGGAGACTTGATTTGGGGTGGTGAACACACAATACAATATTTAGATATGTATTATAGAATTGTATACCTGAAACCTATGTAAGTTTATTAACCAATGTTACTAATCAATTTTTAAAAGTCATTACTCTTAAGATTTGGGGATTTCCCTATCTTTTTGGGTTTTTTATTTCTTTCTTTCATTGTTTATGGTTACTAAATTCATATTGTTGTGATTATAGACATCTTATTCTATCTCAGATTTTATGTTAAAAAATTATCTCCTATGTTAATAAAACTAATGTTTTTTGTGCCCTGACATACTTGTCCTATAGTATATGCTTTTGTGTAGACAACATGCAAATTAAATTCATTTTTTATGATGGAGCTGGAGAATATTATGTTAAGTGAAATAAGTCAGTCAGAGAAAGATACATATCACATGATCTCACTCATTTGTGGACTATAATGAACAACATAAACTGATGAATAAAAACAGATCTAGAAACAGAGAAGCATCAGTCAGATGCTCAAACCTCAGAGGGAAGGAATGGGAGGGTTGGGGTAAGGGGGAGAGATCAACCAAAGGACTTGTATGCATGCATATAAGCATAAGCGATGGACGCAGACAACAGGGGGTGAGGATGAGGGCAAGACTGGGGGCATGAGGGGACAATGGGGGGATAAAGACACATTTGTAATACCTTAATCAATAAAAAAACTAAAAAACACACTAATGGTTTTTGTATAGGACTTACAACTTGTCCTATAGTATATGCTTTTGTGTAGACAACATGTAAATTGTATCTATTTTTTATGTATCTGAGTGTATTTTTTCATCTTTTGCATATTATCATAGAAGTACTTTCATTATGAATCAAGATAGAATTCTCTTACATCCTGAGAACCATCAATCTGCAGAACAAAGATTCTGTAGGTTAACCATGTGAAAGATGTTGTGACCCAAAGAATTTCCATACGTGTGTGTTTTGTTACTGGGAGAAATCATAATTCATCAATTATATAGAGATCTCACTCAACCAATATTTCCCATTCCACTTTGGAATTACTGACTTTTTCTCCCTTGGTTCCACACCTGCAGCTGGAAAAGGCCGCCACCTATGAAAAGTTGAGTGAGTGGACCAGCGCAGACATGATGGAGATGTATGATGTGAAGCTGCACCTTCCCAAGTTCAAGCTGGAAGAGTCTTATGATCTCAAGTTAGCCCTAAGCAGCATGGGGATGAGCGATGCCTTTAGCCAGAGCAAGGCTGATTTCTCAGGAATGTCCCCAGAGAAAAACCTATTTCTGTCCAATGTTTTCCACAAGTCCTTTGTGGAAATAAATGAAGAAGGTACAGAGGCTGCAGCTGGTAGTGGGAGTGAGGTGAGTTATCGAATTAAACTCCCATCCATTGAATTCAGTGCAGACCACCCATTCCTCTTCTTCATCAGGCACAACAAAACCAACACCATTCTCTTTTATGGGAGATTCTGCTCCCCCTAAGCCTGCTTCTTCCCCATCAAACAAGACGACGTGAAAAATACATCATAAGATGGAAAAACAATTATAATAAAAACTAGTTTGCAGTCTAGATATTTTTCACATTTGAATATTAGAAAATAAATCTTGAAATAATGCATTCTAATGATACTGTCATATCTTTTTTTCAAATATTACTATAATATTTATTATATTTAAAAAATGACATCCAGGCATAAGACTACACAAGAGTAAAAATAAGAGAAGATATTATTTACAGCACGGGGAATCATAGCCAGCACAAGCATGAATTCCTTAATATTAAGAAACTTGGATACTGTCATATCTTTATGGCTAGAAAGAATGGCAAATTGTATTTCTACCACTAGACGTTTTTTTAATGCGGCTTTTATTTACATTTCAGAACTACTATGCTATTCAACTGAATGCCTTATAATTCTTGAGCTGCCTGTCATGGTATTATCACTTATGTTTCACATGCATCATTTAATGAAGAAAAATCTTTATAAAGACGATATATTGATAAACAAGAGTTTTTTAGAAGTACAATTTTGATAGTTCATAAATTACTACTGGAAAATTAAACCCTCCCTTTCTGTTATCTATTTAAAAATACTCTGTTCACATTAATGGAAAAGCTAGTGAAAGCCAAATGAAATTTGGAATTTACTTAACAGCAATGTACCAATGTTGGCTTCTTAGTTTTCACAGATGTGTCTTGGTCATGTTAGATATTAGTGTCACTGGAAAGGGAGCAAGCTCTGAGCAGGGTCGGCCTGTAATGTGTGGGTTCTTGACTTTGTGCAGGAAAGATTTCACAGTACAAGTCCAAGTAATTTTTAGAGGACATTTATTAAAGCTGGGAATATGAAGCTGAGAGGTCTCAGGGGAGAAGCAACAGGACAGAGCCTAGGTGAGTGCCTCGGCTCTCCAGAAACTGCTTATTGGTAGTCTCACCAGCTGTTATTCTGCTTTTAGAGAAGATTGATTGTGTCACTCTAGATTGCTTGTTTGACTTTATTTAACAAATGGAAGAGTGGGTCCGACCTGAACATTATTATATAAATGAGTACAAGAAAATGTACTAAACCAATGACAATGTCTTAGCTATAAAGATGGAAAATTGTAATATATATGATATTTTATCATCTCTTTATGGAACACCTCATATTAAGTCGCAATGAAAGAAATCACTTTGGGGATTTTGCTGCCTGGCATTTTGCTGCCATAGGCCAGCTGTAGATTGCCCACACCTTCCTGTAAGGGCAGACAGCTTCTGTGAACCAGTTCTGACCTCCGGCAAATTTCTTTGCCACTGGCAGAAGGCACATTTCTGTGTCAGCCATACCTTCAAAGAAGTCTGAATCTCAGCCTTGGGGTATTAGGTTGCCTGTAGGTAAAGGTGCTCATTGTCTGTGAATGAGAAATCAACTTTTTTTTTTTTAAGAATGTGGAGTGATCCTTTTGAGAACATCTATTTGTGTATTTTTTCCATCATTAGATGATTTTATTACTAAAAAAAATATTTAAACTCTCATATATTTGCATTTAAACGTGGAAATACAATTTCAAAACTTCATAAAAATCTTCTAAACAGAAAACATTTGGTGGGCTTCAAACCGTAAAAACGTTAAAAATACAACATTTAGAAAAAATTAGCTTGCAGAAAGAACTGACTTTCAAGAGGATGAATGGTTTTTTACTAGTGAGATGTCAACTAGAAATATTTGCACAATTAGTATATGGATTGAAAAAAATCAAGTGTCAAGATTTAGTAAGTAGAGCCAAAGATATTTTTATTCCATTTAAATCAACCCATTTCCCCAGCAGCCTTTCTTCCTGACAGCCATCAATAATGCAAGTTTAGAAATAAACTGAACTTAAAACCAGGTCTTCAAATTAACCCTATTTCAAAGCTTTAAACTAAAATGAAAACAATCACGCATTTAATCACACTGGTCTCATTAAATTTTTAAATTTTTGTAAGCAGAAAAAATGAGTATTTTAATAAAATTTTTATTTCTTATTCGTTTTAATTTCTGTTTATGTGTTTTATAGTGTTCATCATATATTAATAGTTAACATATTACTACACATAAGTTCATATAGGTACTGGGGATATATGCTCAACAATTGCTTTGATGGTGTACCCTATGCAGTTTGGAAACAAATGGCTTTAGGAACCATTTTTCACCTCTGGTTTTGCTTTTGGTTAATTTTCAAAAGCAAGTCTCAATGTCCGAACTTTTCTTGCATGCACACACTGAGCAGGAATTCTGCGCATGCTAACACAGGAAAAGGAACCAATCCCCCACTGGGTGTAGGACTGGACAGGAGGCTCCCCCGCCAAGCCATCTGCACTCGGGCCTGGGCGGAGGGTGAGCGCGATGCTCAGGCTCCTCCCGGGCCCCAGCCTGGGGATGTGGGTCAGATGGTTCTGGCCAGTGCAATCCGGCTGCTGTGAGTCATCGCCGGAAGCAAATCAGAGCGAACGGGAAGCATCTTCCAAGTTGGACTAGTAGCTGCAAAGCAGGAGCAGCAGCCGCAGCAGGAACTTCCCAGGTACCGGGGCTGGGAGGCGCTCGGGTCCCAGGTTCCCACGCGGACCCCTCTGGCCAGGAGCTCGGGCGCAGGGCGGGAGGGAGGAAGGGAAGGGAGGGAGGAAGGCAGACGGCAGGCGCTAGAGGAGGAAGGGGCGGAGAGGACTAGGGGAAAGGTGGCGAGGGGTAACCCGGCAGGATTGCTACTGGACCGGGGTCGCCGTGGTCCCCGCCGCGCCCTTGGCTCCGCCACGCAGTCTGGTGCGCTACCGTGCGGTGCGTGTCCGCCTAGGCGGGGGGCGTGGGATCCGAGCGCTGCCGAGCGGCGACTGGGTCTGAGGGTCGTCCCGGGTGGGAGGGACACTGCGGCCTGCTGACGCCACTGCGTTGCCCTTTGCCAGCCGTGAAGGAGTAGCCAGTGACCCAGAAGGGTGGGCGGAAACTTTGGGAGGTGAGTGGGAGGAGCCGCAGGGTGCAGCCGGAAAACTGGAGTGCTAATTGCACCCTGGCCTGGATTTTCTGTGCCTCCTGGGGCAAGTTCCGGGTGCTGGGCAAGCCACCTCCCGCGCAGATGCCTGTCCCCTGACTCCCTCTGAGATCCAGCTTGTTTCTCTCTCTCTCTCTCTCTCTCTCTCTCTCTCTCTCTCTCTCTCTCTCTCTCTCTCTCTCTTTCCTTCCCTTACACCCCCCTCTGATTCTTTCCTTCGTCCCTCCTTCCTTCCTTTCTTTTTCTGGGTTTTTTTTTTTTTTCAATTCTTTGTCCATTTTTCCTTTCTTTCATCTGTCCTTCATGGGCTTCTCTCTCTCAACTTGAAAAGGTGCGCCCTCACCTGTTGTCTTCTCTGCAGCAGCTGCAGTACTTAGTGGAATGGAGTCCTCACTTCCCAGCCACTCAGCCTTGTAGCTCCAGCCCCTGCTCCCTCTCCTTGCTGAGGCTGCTTCTGGGCCAAACTGCCTCCAAGTTCACTACCGGCCTGCCCTCTCCTCCCGCCTGCCTCCCAGCTTCCCTGTTCCCTCCTCCCCCCAGACAACAGAGAGAGAGAGAGAGAGAGAGAGAGAGAGAGAGAGAGAGAGAGAGAGAGACTCGCAGCTCTCCCAGAATCAGCTCTCCCAGAATGTCCCGATTGCTGGGTGACAGTCCCTGCCCTCTTCCTCTTCCTGCCTGCAAACATTGGACATTTCTCCAGAACTAGGTGACTTTCTTGTTTTCTGCCTCCACTGTACCTTTTGAGTGATATCATCCCATTTGCCTAGACTCTCCTGGAATCAGAATGCTGTGGTTCCCAAGCTCTCCCTCTAGGACCCTTGCTCACCTTATGTCACCTGCCAACGCCCTGGCTGTCTTAGTTCTGTTCTGTTGGTGTGGTGTGTTCCACACATGTCACCTGGAATGTACACCTTCCCCATTCCGTGCTGGCTCCTCATATGAACTTCCTGTGGCTCCTGGCCCCTCTTCAGCATCATTAGTTAGCAGTCTATTAGAAGATAAGCCAAGGCACATTACAAATTCTAAGAGTTTATTTGAGCAAAAGATCAGTTTGAGTCTGGCAGCATCCAATCTAGCAGACAGAAAGGAGCTCCAAGGAGCTGTAGACAATGAAAGGCTTTTGTAGGCAGAAGGGACCAGGACAAGGATTGGGCAAAAGGCCGGTGGGTTATTGCAGTTGCTTTCCTTTAGGAACAGCAGATGACCTAACTAGTGCTGATCAGGTACCCTGATTGACTGCTTTAAGATTCCGTTTCTGGGAGAGCTGAAACTGTAATTAAGTCTTGGTTTGGTGATGTGGGGCTTCGCATAAGTGACTCCACTTTGGGTCTGTTGTCTTTTAAGAAGCTTCAGTGTAATCCTTGACTCCTTCCGCTCCCTGCCCTGATGTGATCAGTCTCCCAACAGGGCAGTTCCATCTCCCACTCTCTAGAGCAGGGGTGGGCAAACTTTTTGACTCGAGGGCCACAATGGGTTCTTAAACTGGACCAGAGGGCCGGAACAAAAGCATGGATGGAGTGTTTGTGTGAACTAATATAAATTCAAAGTAAACATCATTACATAAAAGGGTATGGTCTTTTTTTTTTTTTTTTTTTTTTTAGTTTTATTCATTTCAAACGGGCCGGATCCGGCCCGCGGGCCGTAGTTTGCCCATGGCTGCTCTAGAGCATTGATGGCGAACCTTTTGAGCTTGGCGTGTCAGCATTTTGAAAAACCCTAACTTAACTCTGGTGCCGTGTCACATATAGAAATTTTTTGATCTTTGCAACAATAGTAAAACAAAGATTTATATTTTTGATATTTATTTTATATATTTAAATGCCATTTAACAAAGAAAAATCAACAAAAAAAATGAGTTCACGTGTCACCTCTGACACGCGTGTCATAGGTTCCCCATCACTGCTAGTGCGTGAGCTTCCTCTGTATTCAGCTGTACTGATCAACGGCAGTGGTCCACCAGCTGGGTCCCCAGCCTTTTTTTCATGCTATAGGGTGAGCCACAGTCTTTCTCTAAAATTCCAATATATTCCTGTAAAGCATTTGTTTAAAAAGCATGCATGGCTTTCCAGCCAATAGCTCAAGTTCAGACTTTTAAACTTGGTACAAGGGGCCCATCCTGACTCACCACACCCTGTCCCTGTGAGGACAGCACACAGACCCACTCCCTGGCCACACACAAACATGTCGCCCTGCTACATTCTTCACATCTGCCAATCCCACAGCCACAGCCTTAAAATTCACCTCCCCCTTTCACCAGCTTACAGAAACTTTTGCCCCACCTTGGAGGGCCAGCTCACCACTCATCTTCACCACAGGGGCTGCTAAAGTAAATTCATTCTGCTGTTCTGTGGTCTTCCATGGCTCTCTGTAAATCCTGTTACGGGGCCCCTAGCTGGCTTGTAACCATGGATTTGTGTCTGTGTGTCTCCCCTAGGGAGGGAGCTCGCAGGTGGGAATTATGACATTTATTGTTCATTTCCTTGCCCAAACCCAAATAAGGAAAGTTCTACTTAAAAGCTCTTTGAACAAATTCACTTTGGGGTGTGTGTATGAGGAAGGGGAGTGGAGCAGGGAGTTGGCAGGTGTCCAAAGCCCCCAGGAAGAGGAAGATGACACACTTGGTACCAGAAGGCTTGCTTTTGCGGCCAACTCGGCCACTCTTATTATGAGACCTTAATAGGAGTCCTGACCTTGTCTGTTCACCTGCAAAGGGAAAACTAGTTTAATGCCAACTCATTTTATTGACTGGAAATCACATTGTTGTGTTTTTATGACACAATTGAATTGTGGCACTGGTACCCAAAGATATTTTGTTTTATATTGAAATTAATTCCTTTTTAGACTCATTGGGCAAGGTCCATTTTGTTTAAAGTTTCAATCCTCTAACACAGCGGTTCTCAATCTGTGGGTTGCGACCCCTTTGGCGTTCGAACGACCCTTTCACAGGGGTTGCCTAAGACCATCCTGCATATCAGATATTTACATTACGATTCATAACAGTAGCAACATTACAGTTATGAAGTAGCAACGAAAGTAATTTTATGGTTGGGTCACAACATGAGGAACTGTATGTAAAGAGCAGTTGTGCACTGCTCTAACAGCTTTAGTGTACAAATGAGATTAGCAGTCAGCAGGTCTTGGAGAGTGTCCGAGCCTCAGCAGAGGTCCTGTTGCTAAGGATGGGATCAGTTATGAGCTCTGGGATTTACTTGGTGAGTAAACCAGTGTATTAGTTACCTATCGATGCTGTAAAACCTTACCACAAATTTGGTGCTTGAAAGCAACAAAAATTTATTATCAGACAGTTCTGGAGGTCAGAAGTCCAAAATAGGTCCCCAGAGTTACTGTTTTGTTTTCTTTTTCTGGAGACCCAAGGAAAGAATCAGTTTCCTTGCCTTTTGCAGCCCTTAAAGGCTGCCTGCATTCCTTGGTTCCTGGGTTCTCATCATTCTGCTCTTTGCATCCATCATCACATCTCTGACTTTGATCCTCCTGCCTTCCTCTTGTAAGGACCTTGTGATTACAGTGAGCCCACTGGAACACCCAGTAGATTCTCCCCATCTTATTATTCCTAATTCGCTGGCATCGGCAAAGTCCCTCATGCCACATAAGATAATGTAGTCACAGATTGGGGAATTCAACGTGGATGTCTTTGGGGGTATGGTTATTCTGCCGACCACACCTGGTGTCAGAAGGTTTGGCTGATGTGCTTCTGTGTTGTGTTTTTATGACACAGTTGAATTGTGGCACTGGTACCCAAAGGTGTTAATTTGTTTTAATATTGAAATTAATTCCTTTTCAGATTCATTGGGCAAGATCCATTTTGGTATCATCCATCAATAGACCTTCCCTTGGTATCAACAGACCTTCCCTGATGGATGACTTTGGGGAAGCTAATGGCACTTTTGCCATCAACTTATTAAAAATGTTGGGTGAAGAAGACAACTCACAGAATGTGTTCTTATCTCCTCTGAGCATCTCCTCTGCCCTGGCCATGGTCTTCATGGGGGCCAAAGGAGACACTGCAGCCCAGATGTCCCAGGTAGGTGTGCCTGCCACAAAGGAAGAGCAATGCATGGTTTTTTCTCTGCTTCCACAGGGCTGGTCTTTTCATATCTATCCCAGCTGATGAAAACCAGTGTGGCTGGTAGGTGGGAAGGGGGACACTTGCTGATGGACAAAGGGCAGACATAGGTAGAGCAGGTAAATTACATAGGACAGGGAATTTCCTCTTAGTGTTTATGGGAGAAATCAAGTCTCAGGTTATTTTCTGTGGATAAAAAGCATCAATATGCTACAGCAAAATTGTATCTTTGAGAAGTAAGGTAAATTATAATTTTGTCCCATAAGAAGGCCAAAAATTTAAGCTTTATTATATTTTAACTTTTGCTAACACATTTCAAATGGAAACGTAGCTATGTAAATGCACTTTCTGTCAAACAAGTTATTTCTAATGTATGATTGTGCACAAGTGGAGGAAGAATGCACACAGATGTGGACTTCTATTATCCAGAGTCACTTAGTAGGAATATATGATCTGACAGATCTGATGGGGGTTCGGTGTGACCTCAGCTACCCTGAAGTGGTGGATGATACCTTAGGGAAGGAGTCCTTAACCTCTTTGTGTCTTAGTTTCTTTGATCGTCTTGTGAAAGCGACCCAGAAAATTGCTTATGCTCGTCACTTTGCCACTCATGTCAGGGTGTACAGAAGCGTGTCCACTGTCTGAATCTCCATGGTTGTTTCATCCAGTTCACGGGAGGACTGAGGCTTTGGGCTGGGGTGTTGGTTGGGCTGGAGAACCTCTGTAATATTGCTGGTGAGACATTTTCATGTTTATTTCTGCTCACTCTTGAAGTTTTCCCAGGTCAGACTAGATCCATTCCAGCCACCTGTTTGTTGTGTTCTGTCTCCCTCCTGAGTTTTCACATCCTGGCCTTCCTGTAAAACACCCAGGGAGGTGGGGCGGGGGGAGGGGGGGGGGTTTGCAATGGAGGCAGTTTTGGTGGTTATAATTGAGAGGTACTGCTGCCATCTAGTGGGTGGAGGCCAGAAATGCTGCAACCTATCTTGAGTGTACAGGACAGCCCCAACAACAAAGAAACTGGTCCAACATGTCAGTAGTCCGAGGTTGAGAAAGCCTGTGCTGACTGGTGAAAGCAAACTCATTTTGAGATAGGATCCTTTGTGATTTTCAGCATGAAGATTTGTTTGGAGGAGCAAAATGGCAATGTTAAAAGTCTGTGTTTTCTCTTACCAGGCACTTTGTCTGAACAAGGCTGGTGATGTCCACCAAGGTTTCCAGGCACTTCTCTCGGACGTTAACAGATCTGACACCCAGTACTTGCTCAGAACTGCCAACAGACTCTTTGGAGAAAAGACATGTGATTTCCTTCCGGTACGTAGTACTCACATATTTTATTTATTTATTTATTTATTAATTATTATTTTTAATCCTCACCCGAGGACATGCTTTTATTGCTTTTAGAGAGAAAGGGAGAGGGAGGGAGGCAGAGAGAGAGAGAAACGTTGATGTGAGAGTGAAACATCAATAGATAGCCTCCACACAAGCCCTGATTGGTGATTGTACTTGAAACCTGGGTATGTGCCCTGAACAGGAATCGAACCTGTGACCTTTAGTTGTACTGGACAAGGCTCCAACCAATTGAGCCACATGGGCCAGCACAGTAGTACTCACACATTGATTAACAATAAATTGAAAATAAAATAGAAACTTCAGAGGAACTGAGATAAAGTATAACTCTACTACCTTAAACATTTGCTTAGAATTTTACCTCTGTAATTATAATTTTGAATTTTATGATGGCTTCTGAATTATGCCCTTTTAAAATTGTTTCTGATATATTCCTCCTGAACTTTAATCTCAATATGTCCATCCTCTGACATCCAGACTCTTTTCTTCTAGATCTGAGTAGTACCTATTGATTTAAGTGTATAATTCCAGAGTCCCCTTGTCCAGTGAAAGAAAGCCTGCCATGATTCAGTAAGTGAGGTCCAAAAAATGCTGCTGTGTAATATGCAGAGAGATGCTATATTGAGATAAAGGAAATGGTCAGGATGAGCCTGGCCGTCTTATTGGCTGGCAGTTCCCAGGATTCTTCTGTAGGACTCACATACATCCCTGCTGGTGGGCACTACCCCGTGGAGGTTGCCTGCACTGGGCATAAAAATCACTGGAGATGATTCTGGATCTTTCAGCTGGCTAAGTCTTCTAGGATAAGCATGATTCCAGGAATCTACTGGTTAAACAATGTTCACTTTGAACATCAGCCTAATCTTTGAATATTGTTATTGGGGAATATTGGGGACACAGGGAACCACCTGCCACCTTTCTCAGTTGCTGGGCTCTTCTCTCTACATCTTCTTTCTTCTGTAGAAGCTAAACTATTTGAGAACAGGAGATGGGCGGAGGATAGGCACCCTCCAGGCACATTATTCTGAGACCAAGTTTTTGTGAGGTGAGTTATCGTTGGGTTTTAATATATTGGGTACAGGGCCTCCCTGATTTGATCCCACCTTGCATTTCAAGGTTCAGCCCCTGCCCCTGTGTTTTTTTCCCCTAATCCCTTACACACACACACACACACACACACACACACACACATGCCAGGGTTCTTGTCCCAGCATCAAGAAGGGTTCAGGAATCTGGAAAAGGCTGTGCATAGTGCATAGATGGCATAGGAATCCAGAGACTAATAAAGAGTCCAGAGATGAGATATAATTTTGAAAGGCCTTGGGGGTCAGAGGACCTTCAGTCAAAGGAACTGAAAAGTCCCTCCTTGTCTAGGACCCTTGCTTTTATTCACACAATTTGTCCTAAGGCAAGGTAGAGATAATACACTTCAAAGGGTAAGGTTTCAAAGGCTACAGAAGCATTGTCAGTTTGGGGAATAGCCTACAGCTATTCAGGTGTAGGCCAGTAGGAGGCAATAATATGTAGATTAAGATGCCCTTTAACTGTCTGGCAGCCACAATCACTTTACTATTCAAGTTTGGGGAAATGCCTTTAGCCATTCCCACAGGTGACTGCATGTGTGACTCAACCCTGTTGAGTCCCCAAGTCTCATCAGCTTTTTGATGAAACTCTTAAAATTATGACATGCTGGAATTGGTCTACGGCACACACACATACACACACACATCTAGGACAGTCACGTTCCACTCCTTGGAGACCTGTAAGATTTCTTGGCAATCTAGTTCTGCCATGGAGCCTCCCAATCACTCCACAGATATGTTTCAGACCCTGGGGCTGGTGCCAGTGATGCAAAAGTGAATAAAGAAAGTTAGAGTGCTTGGTGGGGAGGGAGACAGAAAAATCAAACAGAAATCAATATGCAGTTTAAGTGCTTGATGGGCATTCATGATGGGCTCTTTGGTGCATGCCTGCCACCCTTCATGTTCTCAAGACATCTTATAACTATCTGTGTGTGTACGTCATCTCTCTCACAGACTGGGAGCCATCTCTGGTCTCATGCCATGTCTTCACCCTGGTGTCCAGCACCCAGTGGGTGGTTTGTGCATTTTTGTTAATTGCATGAATGAGTGTTAAAATGCAGGATGAGCTGTGCAAGCAGTTAGGCTAGAAACATGTTCAGAAAAAACAGATGTGTTCCCACCATGGGGACCTGCTGCATGGGGCTGGACTTGGTATCTTGCGCTTGCAGGCCTTTAAGGAATCCTGCCAGAAGTTCTATCAGGCCGAGCTGGAGGAGCTGTCCTTTGCTAAAGACACCGAGGAATGCAGAAAGCACATCAACGACTGGGTGGCAGAAAAGACTGAAGGTGAGAGATTTCATTTCCATGCGCTTGGGAAGCTGCGAAGGAACAGGAGGTGAGAGGGCCTGGGCTGTGACCTCCACAGTATTGCCACCGGCACCCTGTAACCAGCGTGTGTGTGTGTGTGTGTGTGTGTGTGTGTGTGTGTGTGTGTGTGTGTATGTGCACGTGCTCACTGTGATTTCAGGCCAGCCATGCAGTTCTGTGATTTTTCTTGGGCTTATCAGATCCCAGAGCGGTGATTTCAAATAAAAACTTAAACCAGGTGTAAGGGTCTCAGACGCCTTCCCCGCTGGACTCTACTAGAAAATATCAGAAAAATGCATCCTCATGGGGCCCTGTTTTTCTACTATCTGGGAGGAGCCTTGCCCCACTCTGAGGGCAGGATGACATCCAATTTTGGTGGCAGCTCAGATAGGGCCACCTTTCACATTATCTCCCTGTGGTAATGGAACAGCTCTGGTTTCATGCTTGGCCTGCTCCTTCTTTGTCACGAGGCTGTGGCTAAGTTTGCTTTTAGAGGGTGACGTTTTCTGAGTTTGCTCCAGATTCAGGAACCACAGCCTATGCGGAGCCTGCAAAGTCCCCTGTCCAAACCACATTCTGTCTCAGCAGATATAGTTCCACCAGTTCCTGATTAGAGTGCAGAGAAAAAGGGCATGCTTTTAAGCACTCTAAATAGCTAGCATGTAGAGACTTCCAGAACATGGGGACTTCAGTCACTCATTTCTCCGCGTGCCCAAACAACACTCATCATTCCATCCGTTCAATCTTTGTGGCATCCCTGCCATCTCAGGCAGCAGCAACGATCACGATTATACTGAGAGCCCATAAAGTAATGACTGTTGGAAGGGAAGAACCTTTCATGTTTTCTTAGGTGTTATGTGCGGTAGTCTCTCATTCCCCAGTAGTTGGAGCAGTTGTAAGTCACTGGCGAAGCCAGAAGCTTTGTACCTCACCTTCCTTCACCTGCTGCATCCCCTCCACAGCTGTTCACACCTTTCCTTCCATCAGGCTGGCCACCCATGTTTTTTTCCAGAATATTAGAGCTGGGGGGACTTTGGGGATCACCTTGTCCCTACTTTCATTGAACAACAAGTTGGGCTTCTTCATTGCATGCCCCTAATTCCTTTGCTCCATTCCCCCTGTTCAGGAAGCCTGCTTTCTCCCATGATCGGGCTGCATTTCCCATTCTTTGGAAGGCTCTCCTCCCCTCAGCAAATAATTATCTGGCCTAAAATGTCAACAGTGGCATGGTTGAGAAATTATGGTGCCAAGGTTGAGTGTCTTATAGTTAAAATAAAATCTCTTGGATTATTTTCTCAGCCCAGTCACTTGCCATCTAGTGACCTTAGCAAAAAAGTTAGGCAAATGCTCTGAACCTGAATTTCTACATCTGTCAGTTGAGGGCAAAATGATAGTTGACCTGCCCTTTTCAGGATTGCTGCTTAAGGACGGACAGTACTCAGTGTGGGTGCCCAGCCCAAAGCATCATCACCCCGAGTCATCAAGCAACCGAAAAGACAGGATTCCAGCCTGGCTGTCAACCAAGCCTCAGTGTTCTATGTCAAGGGGATTTTTGTAAAAGAATATTTATTCTCCCCCAAATAGCAATAAATTTCTCTTCTACTCTTTATAGGTAAGATTTCGGAGATTTTGGGTGTTGGCACCGTTGATCCACTGACCAAACTGGTTCTGGTGAATGCGATCTACTTCAAAGGCAGGTGGAAGGAGCAGTTCGACAGAAAGCACACAAGGGGGATGCCTTTCAAAGTCAACCAGGTAGGGACAGCAACTTCAGATACACCGCTATTTTCTTAAAGTAGCACATTGGGAATAGTTGTGAATGGGAAAAATATCAATCATTTATTTCACACTGTTCTGATTGTTGACCCATTTCTGAATGTATTTCATGCCTCCTATATGTTATTGGAAAAAAGAGGAGAAAAATGAAAATAATTTTTTCTATTGATAGTTTCCATTTTTCAGTCCTTGTTCAAAATGACCTGTCCCTGGTCACATTATTGTGATGGAAAGAAAATTTCTTCTAAGCCTTGGAATTATGCTTGTATTGTACTATCACTGACTATATTTACTTAGACACCTCTTTAGTGTCATGGTAAACTGTGCCTATTTATTGCCTTAGAATCCATGGCTATGCAATTCTGAGCACAAGGAAAAAGTTGTTAACAGATGTTAAGGCTGAATATTTATTTATTTATTTATTTTTTAAAATATATTTTATTGATTTTTTACAGAGAGGAAGGGAGAGGGATAGAGAGCCAGAAACATTGATGAGAGAGAAACATCGATCAGCTGCTTCCTGCACACTCCCCACTGGGGATGTGCCCGCAACCAAGGTACATGCCCTTGACCGGAATCGAACCTGGGACCCTTGATGCTCTATCCACTGAGCCAAACCAGTTAGGGCTGAATATTTATTTTTAATTTTGGGGGAATCTTTTAAAAATAAAAATTGTATATATTCAAAGTGTACAAGATTATGATTTAATATTCATACTGAAAAGCTAACTAACATCTCTCCACATACTTACCTTCTTGTGTGTGTAATGAGAGCCCTGAAATCTACTCTGTTAGCAACTATCCATAATTCAGTACAGTTTTATTAACTACTAGAGGCCCAGCATGTGATTGAAATCACACAAGGAGGCGCCCCACCTCCCCCTGTGGGAGGAGGCACCCCACAGGGGGTCGGGACCTACACCTGACTCGTGCAGCACTGGCCACCATGGGAGTTAGGCCGGACTGGTCCACTCTGGGACCCCAGGAGGCCGGGACCCGCGCCTGATTTGCAGTGTTCCTGGCCCCCCTGCCTGTGTCTGCTCTGGGGCCACCTGAACCACCACGCCAGCTCAGGCAGGCCCCCCTGCCCCTGTCTTTGTCTCTGCTCTGGGTCTCACCTGCCCACCCAACCTCCTCCTGTCTGGTCGTGACCCGTTATGGAGTCCCGGCCTAATTTGCATTATATATATATATATATATATATATATATATATATATATATATATATATATATATATAGTCATCATGTTCTACATTAGGTATCCAGACTTATAAGTCGAACATTAAAAATATATCTCTCCATTCCTTTTGTGTATGATAATGGCTGGTGTCAATAGCTGTTAACTTGGAATTTCACCTCCATCAACTTGACAATAGCACATTGCACCAAGATTTAAAAGTCTAGAGTATATTTGATGCAAGCTTTAAAAGTGGTGAACCCTACACATCTTGTTAAGGTTCTCCCTTCAAGAAAATCAAAGCTGTATAATCAATTGTATAATTGAGCAACTTTTCAGAATAAAAGTCTAACTTCTTCTGGCCTATACATCTTCTCTAACCTAATCCTCCAGCCCAAAGACCTGAATATTAGTTAATTCTCCTCTAAACTTAGAAAAACAATTTTTAATTATAAGGTCTCTGAGAGTGCTTCTTTATGTATTTTCTCAAAAAAGAAAACCTAAACTTCTTCCAAAAATAATGAGAGAGTTTTATGTCTGTCCATATTTTACAATTTATGCTCTTCTCTGGTTATAATTGATCTGCTGGGGCATGAGCATGTTATACTCAATACTAATATGTAATAATGAGGATTTTGTATCTATCAGCATAAATGCACAGAAGTAATCATTCTCTTAAATGTACCTAGAGGTTCTGTGAATTAGACATATTTTTAGTGAACTGTGCTCATTTTTCAAAAATCTGATTTTAATTTCATGTTTTCATTAGGAAAAAAAGACAGTGCAGATGATGTTTAAGCATGATAAATTTAAAATGGGCTGTGTGGAGGAGGTGAAAAGCCAGGTCCTGGAGCTGCCCTATGTGGGGGAGGAGCTGAGCATGGTCATTCTGCTGCCTGATGAAGACATGGATCTTGCAGTGGTAAGCCCTTGGCAATGAGTCTGAGTGTCTGTGGATCTAGTCTTAGCTCTTTTCTCTAAGTCCACCCATCAGATAGCATTTGAGGAGTTTTCAATTTGGAGTTATTACAAAGAGTGCTGGATGAACACTATTGCATGTCTTTGGTGGGAGTGTATATGCATTTCTGTTGAGTATATATCTAGGAATGGAATTGCGGGTAAGGACAAATGTTGAAGCTAAGGAGAGCTCCAAGAATTTAAAAGAATTATTCATTAATCGTTATTCTTTATTCTTAAGAGAGAGGCTAGTTGAGGGCCCAATAACTGTTGAATGAAAGTACTAGAAAAGGACAGGATTGATCTGGGCTGAGTTCCTCAAACATCCATGTGCATACAAATCTCCTAGGGATCTTGTTACAATGAAAATTTTTGACTAGGGGCTATGGCAGGGGTGGGCAAACTTTTTGACTCGAGGGCCACAATGGGTTCTTAAACTGGACCAGAGGGCCGGAACAAAAGCATGGATGGAGTGTTTGTATGAACTTATATAAATTCAAAGTAAACATCATTACATAAAAGGGTACAGTCTTTTTTTTCAATAGTTTTATTCATTTCAAACGGGCCGGATCCGGCCCGCGGGCCGTAGTTTGCCCACGGCTGGGCTATGGCCTGAGATTTTTTGCATTTCTAACAAGATTCCAGGTGATACAGGTGCTATTATTGGTCATGGACCACATTTTGAGTACAAGAGTACAGGTGAGCAGTGTATCTTAGACAGGAGCAGAGAGCCCTCTTCCCATGACAGAAAAGGAATAGAGTTCAGGAGGAAGGTAAATTTGTAAGATGGATGGTAGAGAACCAACAGTGTGCTGGCTATCTGGATCCCTGGGTGATGGGACTTATAATATTTGCTGATTTCATGCAAATACTCCACTTGGCTAAGTTTAGATTACCAAGAATTTAACAATTGACTTTCGCCAGATATACAAGCCAGCTCCAGCATACCAATGCACAGGATGTTGAGGGTGGGGTCTGCCGGATTATTAAAATACTAGAGGCCTGGTGCATGAAAATTCATGCACTGGAGTGGGGGTCCCTCAACCCGGCCTGCCCCCTCTCACAGTCCGGGAGCCCTCAGGGGCAGGAGTTGACCTGGTGATCAGAGGAAGGCAATGGTCCCATCACACCTCTGCTGCTGCCACTGCCGGCAGCGCAAGTCTCAGCCGGCCCTGGTTACCTGAGCCTCGGGCGGTTCTGGGCAGCTGGGCAGCCGCCATCTGAGGCTTGCCTGCGCCTCTGGCTGGCCCTGGGTGGCTGGGAAGCCGCCATCCAAGGCTTGCCTGTGCCTCGGGCCGGCCCTGGGCGGTTGGGAGGCCGAGGGGACTGGGGGACTCCAGAGGCAGGTGCGCGGCAAGGCTGGGCCCAGCAGGGCTTAGGGGACTAGGCGCTGCCATCTTGTGGCTGTGGGCACCGCCATCTTTGAGGGCAGGTCAGACAATTAGAATATTCCCTCCTTATTGGCTGTGAGCACTGCCATCTTAGCAACGGAGTGAGAGTCAATTAGCATATTCCCTTTTTGTTAGATAGGATATTAAATAATTTTGAAATGAATTTGATATGGATGGTTTAAAAAAAACCCTCCCATTGTCTTAGGTGTTTTACTCTTGGTTCCACAAAACAGGGAAAAGATGAGAATTTGAGGGGAAATCTGGGTGTAAGGACAATCTCAGTAGATTGTCTTGGTTCAGAACTCAGCATCTAGTTGCATTCTATGGGGGATGAATAAAGGGGGGTGCACACCAGGCTATTGTCATCTGGATTTTAGGATTTGACTCTTCATTATTTCAGGTGGAAAAGGCACTTACATATGAGAAGTTCAGAGCCTGGACGGATCCAGAAAACATGAGTGAGATAAAAGTTCAAGTTTTTCTTCCCCGGTTAAAACTGGAGAAGAGCTATGACTTGGAGTCTTATCTTCGAAGTTTAGGAATGACTGATGCTTTTGAGGAAGCCAAGGCAGACTTTTCTGGAATGTCAACTAAGAAGAATGTGCCTGTGTCCAAGGTTGCACACAAGTGCTTTGTAGAGGTCAATGAGGAAGGCACAGAGGCAGCTGCGGCCACTGCCGTGGTCAGGAATTCCCGGTCCTGCAGAATAGAGCCAAGATTTTGTGCAGACCACCCATTCCTTTTCTTCATCAGGCACCACAAAACCAACAGTATCTTGTTCTGCGGCAGGTTCTCTTCTCCATAAAGAGGTGCCATTGCTTACAGGTGCTTCTTTCCTTCTGCCAACCTTGCCTTGATTCAGATTCTGTAGGACCAAATTGGTGCATGTGGTGGTATGAATGCCAAAATAAAGCGTTTGCACCTAGGATGTCTGTGAATGTCTTTACCAAATATTCCACGGCCACTGAGAATAATTGAGACTTCAGATGGGTGGAGTTTGGGAAGGAGAAGGGTATGCTTGTTCTGAAATGTTTGGGGAGCTCTTCCCTCAAAGACTATGCCCTCACCTACCTGCTATAAGATGGCCAGCAATCCTCAAAGTCCGTGCCCATTGTGGGCATCTTTAGGAACATGTCAAGGATTGACAAATCAGCCCTCCACATGCCCTTCCATTCTACAATGATCTCAAAGATCATTGAGGTGCCCACCACCATTGCCAGGCTCAGCTGGAGATGGCAGTGTCCAGGCCCCCTGCATACAAGGCCAGGGGTGGATGCTACAACAAACACTAGCCACCTATGTCTCATAACAACTGAGACAGAGTGTCCCCTGGGCAGTATCACACAGGCAGCCTTGCATGTCCCATATCTCACACAGTCCCTTATGCAAATCACTCCTTCAAATCCTTTTGCCATAAACCTGATATGAGTTCAGGGGCTCAGCAGGTAGCTTCAGAAATGAGTTTGGAGCCAAATCTCTGAAACATGCCCAGTCCTCTCCATTTCCCTTGCTTCTGAAACATACACACAACCAGGAAAAAACCCACACCAAGCACTTCTTGGAAGCAATGACCCTCTAGTTAATCACACATAGCTCAAGCACCCCCCGTGTTAAAAAACAGATCTCCCTGCATCATTTTTTCAGATTAAAAAAACACACTTTTAATCTGAACATTTTAGAAACTATAGAAAAGTATACAAAAAAAATTAGTCACTCACAGTTCCACTACCCAGCAATCACTACTGTTAACAATGATAAATATACTTCCCTGTTCTATGTATGCAAATAGAAGTTTATAAACCAACACAAGTTAATCATGCCCTTCTGTAGCTAATTTCTATCCTTACAACTATCTGCTTTTGATTCGCATTAACATAGTTATAGTATTTTCTGCTCTAATATGTATTGTTCTCTCTATGCCCTTAATGTAGTTCCATCTATTTGGCTGTCCTTGAACAAGCTGCTTTTTTATTTTTATGTTTATTTTTAATTAGGAAGGCTTTGTAGTATGTCTTAGTTAATTTATCTCTGGAATAGAGAAATGCTGTCGATTTTTATAGTTTGATCTTAGATGTCTTTGGCTTCCTTATAAATCTTACTATTATGGGTCTCATCTATTTTCTTTTTATTTATTTTAATCATTGTGTTTTCTTATAAGATATTTTAAATTGTTTACTTTTTATCACTATTATCTTCTTTTATTTTCTTATTTAAAATGTCTGTTGTGCCTGGCTGGTATGACTCAGTGGTTGAGCATTGATCCATACACCGAGAGGTCACTGGTTTGATTCCCAGTCAGGTTGTGGGCTCGATCCCTAGTAGGGAGTCCCACAGGAGGCAACCGATTGATGTTTCTCTCTCATCAATGTTTCTATCTCTCTCTTCCTTTCCTTTCCTCTCTCTCAAAATCAATAAAAATATAAAAAAATAAAATGTCTGTTGCAACAGTTCTGCTTCAAATGTTTAGGTTGGTCAATTTCTTTTCTTTTTTTTTATTGACACTATTATAGATATCCCACATTCCCCCTTCCCAGCACCCAACCCCCATTTTGCTCACTTCAGTCAATTTATTTTATAGTGTTTTTCTTCCTCAAGTATCCAGTTTTTGGCCTGTGGGTTCAAGTTGACCTTGGGTTATCAGATATGTTCTGCTGATATGGGTTGAGTAAGGCTTAAAAGTCAGACCTTTTTTTTTTTTTAATTTTGTCTTTTTTTTAGTGACAGTCCTACCCAGTTTGATGACACACTTTCTGTCAGTCCATCAGGAAAACCTCATAGGGCTGAAGCAGTAATACTCAAAGGGAACCAAATTCTCACCTGTTAACTTCAACTCCTCACCCCTGCTAGGCTTTTAAAATGTACCAATATAATCTCAAGGATGCTAATACAGATGATATAGGCTATCGATTTAGAGTTTTGTTCTGAAGGAACAAGGCCAGCAAGGCAGGAACTTAAAACATCTGGCCCAGCCTATCTTCTCTGTAGGCAGCAGGTGTCTCCCTTTCCAAATGGCAGCTGTGCACTGCTTGAGCACCAGCGTCCAAGCACCATTCTGCTTCCCATGGATGGCTTGGCTGTCTTGTTGCTTGGTGAGTCTTATCTTGTTGTTACTATTTGTTTGATTGATTAGATCTCTTGTTTCTCTCCTGCCTTTAATTTCTCTAGAGCTGAGTTTTGGGAAGAGAGTCAAACTCCTGCTTTGTGGCATCTTTGCAGGAAACAGAATCATCTTTTTAATGATGTTTGTGCTAGTATGTCAAAGTAAAAAAAAGTGTATTTTACCATATACTCATAGACTATTAATAAATTTGAATTACTCTTTAAAAATATAAATTATATTTTATAGTCTCTAGATTTATAAAGAAAAGCCTGCAAATATAAAATCTTGGCAAAGATCAAGAGCAATTCTCATATAATGCTGGAGGGAGCAGAAATTGGTAAAACCACTTAGAAAAGGATTCTGGCATGACTTAGTAATGTTAAGCATTTGTATATACTATGACCAGATATTCCACTCCTGGCTAGAAACCCTAGAAAAACTCTATGTTCAAAAAGCATGCAAAAATAATGCTCATAGCAACATTGTTCATCATAGCAAGAAAAAAATGTAGAAATATAGAAAAAACACTGAATTATTAAAATGAGTAAATCATGTTGCACTCATGCAGAGGAAAGAATCAGGGTCATTGCCTTGCTCAGCTCTGGGGCACCATTCACATAGTCTGCACATTTCAATAATGTTACTGGCATTTTCTGGAGTTTGTACAAATTTGTGCAGAATACCATATATTAAGCAAAATAAATTAACCACACCTACCACTATAAAACACAATGCCAACCCAAAATAACAAGTATCAGTTGCATTCGCATAATGTTAAACAATAGGTAAACTGATTATTGTGCTATACATACACACACACACACACACACACACACACACACACACACAATAAAGCTACATAGGAAAGAACAAAGAAATTCATACAAAGCAGAATAATATTAAATCCAGGAAAGAATGTGATTAGCTAGGTCAGAAGGGAGCTTTAAAATTATTCATGATTCTCTGTTTCTTAAACTGGGTAGTGGATATTAGATAATTATTCAATCTACTATTAACTTTCAAGTATAGTATATATGTAAATTCATTGCATTATATGTATGATGCATTTAACAATGAAAAGAAATTTAATAAAAGAATGGATAAATCATGGTATGATGTGGTGAGAACTACAATCAGCTAAGATAGAAAAAAACAAAATATTGCAAATTTAATAATAAAGCTAAATGTAACTTTCCTGTTAAAAGACAAAAAAAGAACAACCCCTTTTAGATTGGAGATGAGAAACAGTATTTTGCCAAATGTGATTTCAATTAGCATTTCTCAAACAAAGTGACACAAAATATGTACATGAACTGAGAGGTAAAGATGTATCGGGCAAATTTAAAAGGACAGCAGTGGTCAAGCTATTAATAATATTAGAACAAGTAGACTTTAAGGAAATTAATAAAAATGGAGAAATGCTATCATTTGATATAGAAAAGGGCATGATTCATAGGAAAGGTAAAATGTTCAAACTGGACAGATGAACATAGAAAAAATAAATCATAAAAGTTGGATGAAAAGTTCAATATTATACTGTACTTTACACTAAGACCCATTTTTGTACACCTTTATACCTCTGAAATTAAGATATGTCTTGATGTATCTTTTATTGCCCATACATGCTTGCATTTAGACATAGATGACTATAATTTTTTCCCACTTTAAGTTATCATTGGTAATATATGTGTTAAGTATAGTTGTCATTATTTTTAAGGTTATATTATTATTTGACATTGAGAAAATTATTGTGAATATCAAAAATTATTGAAGTGAAATTGATGTGGGATTTTATATTAGAGAAGCAAACACTTTATATTTGGAGGAACTAGTGCATTTTTCTATTTTCTTGCAAAGCAGTGGCCATGATTTATAGGAGCAGCAAAACAGACAAGCAGCAAAAGTTGTGCTAAAGGATGACCAATCACATACCAACAGCAGAATCTGCAGAAAGGGTATTAGCCACTTGGAAGAAAATCCCAGAGACAATAGTGCTGTGTTTGCTCCTGTTTGGTGGTGTTTGGTGATATCCACATAGCAAAGCTGTTGATGGCGTAATCAATACACAGTGATGTGATGAAAAACATGAACATCCATAGTTTATGCCCCATGATGATGAAAAAGACTCAGACTCTAAATATGTTCTAAGGTTATTTTGAAGTATATATTGCAAATATTTAATTATGAACAATAAAAAGGCATATTAAAATATATATCTAAGTACATAAAAGAAATATATATGTACATATATATATAGAATAAAAATTTAAGTGAAAGAAAATATAATATCACAATTCAATTGGCAGAGCTTTCATTTTCTTAGTGGTACATGAAATAATAATGCATTTCAGAGCTGAGGTCATTTTAGAATTAATGAAATGGGGTATAGTTTATCGGGTTTTTCTTCTCTTACTATCTTACTGTCTAGAATGCATGTGCATTGAGTGTTGGACCCTACACTCAACTTCTTTCTATTTTCCTTTCTTAAATTTTAAAATATATCTTGAGCTTTTTCTCCTAGTTCCTCTATTGATTAGGGAGGCAATAATGTGGTATTTTTTGCCTTTTGATCATTTCTTTTTTTCATATCAGTGTGTGTGCTTGTCTATGTGTGTGTAAGCATGTGTAATAACTTCTAGAATTAGCTAAAGATATTAATGAAGGTTTTTCATGTTCTTACCTAAATTGTTTCTTCCAGATCAACTCTGCTGAGTGTCAATATTTGTCCTGTAGTAAACCAATGAATAAAAGGTTTTACATTGAGGAGAAATACATTTAAATTTGTAATTTATAAAGATTATTTGGACTACTATATGGGGAATGAAATA